AACGCCGCGGCAGCGGCCGCGGCCGCAGCTGCTGCCGCCGTCGCTAATAACAACAACAATGGCGGTAATAACAATAACGGTATGCCAACGAATAACGGACAGATCAAGATTGAGGACGATAAGGATGCGATTCATCAGCAGCAGCAACAGCAGCATGCCAACGGCGCGAACAACGGCGTCAATAGCAACAACGTCGGCAGTAACAACGGTAACGCGATGCCAGCTAACTCGAGTCCAGGCACTCTTGGGTCCTCGCAATATTCTCCCGCTCGACTTCCTTACTCTGGATTAGACTTCAAATCTGAGATGAGCCCGGCGGCGCAGACGCTCAAGCAGATGGCCGAGCAGCATCAGCACAAGAGCCAGCAATTGGGTCTAGGTGGATTCAATCCCACGGCGGCAGCGGCAGCCGCCGCGGCAAGAGGACCAGCGGCGAGATCCCCTTACGCCGAATTTCCTCAATTCGGCGGCGCTTCCGATTACCTTGGTAGTCCTGGTAGCACCGGCCCGACCGGTGGACAAAACCAGGCCACGGCCGCGGGAACCGGCTCGTATCACAAGAACAATGGCACTCCAACCTTCCAGAGTCAGCAGACCAACGATATGTTCGTCAGTTCGCAAACTCAATTTGCTGCAGGCCTCACGGATATGAAGAGGCCCCAACCAACTGCGACAGGCGGCAAGCCCGGCATGCTGGGGCCTAGTGGCGGTTACAAACAACAATACTCGCCGTATGGTAGTCCGGGTTCAATGCCGAATCACGGTAGCCCGGGTTATCCGTTACCACCGAGAGGATCGCAAGGAGGTGGACCTAACCAGACCGGTTCGCAAGGACCTTTTAACACGACCTCCACGCCGCCGAGACCTCCTTCGGGACCCGGTACTTCCACCTTGCAAATCAATCAAGCACAGCAGCTGCACATCGGTAATCAGATACAGGTAAGTGAAGTAATTTTTTCTGCACGAGATCGATTTTCTCGAAAACGAAATATTATACGGGAAATGTGTATTTTACTAAGTTATTTTTGCACGCGCTTTGTATTTCAATATTCGAAAAAAAAACTCGTACTATGGATCATGTGGTCTAATTATATTAATTCGAAATTAATTGCGCAAAGATACACACACACACATACCCGTATCAATGTACCTACATCTTTTAAAGCTCGTCTATATAAAATCGTAGACGGTAAGGTATCAAATCGTAGGAAATTGATCAATTCTAATCGAGTATTCTCCTTATATTTGACTGTGATTAGTCAGTTTCTTAAGATATCACGATCGTGTATGACTTCTACATAGACAAGCCTTTAAAAAAGTTTTTTCTGACCATACCGTCTTTTTAGTTTTCAATCATCAGGATGTAAATAAAGTACACCGTGCATCTCCAGCTAAGCGGATGAAATTTTCTCGAGCTAACGCAAAACTCGACGGAATATTTATCTTTCTCAATAAGGATCTCGTATCGCGAACTTCCAAGTTTCGATACGACTTCTTTCGGTCGGATGACGGCCACTGCTAATCGCCACTATCACGGCGATCAAAACGAAGTAACCGAGAGCTACTCGAGCTCGAGCCGAGTGATATCTGTTGCGCCGCGACGACGCGTCTATTTTTGTCGTCGGCATCGCGGGGCATCGTTGGCGACGGCAGGCGGTGGTGGCGCGACATCGAAGGGGTGGCGACGACGACGGCGGTAGCGACGTTGTTGGTCGTCGATGAAATGTGGTGATACGGGGGGTAGAAGGGAGCATCACGGCGTCACGGGGGCGCCGCGACGCGCAACAAGTAGTCTCGTTTCTCCCAGTGGCGGCGGCGGTCCTCTTTGTAAATTTTCCCTCTCGCCAGAGTCCACCATCCCCGCTCCCTTCCTCCCTCTCTCTCTCTCTCTTCCTCCTCTATATCTTTATCTCTCCGTCCCTCCGCGCCGACGCTTCTGGATGACGTTGAGGGTTGGAGAGGTGGACAGCGAGCGAAGGGTTGCGCGGCCGCGCCGCACAGCCGGCGTCGCGACGCCACCGCCGCCGTCTGCTCGATTTAACCTGCGCCTGCAATCCGCGTCAATACGCTCCATAGTGATAGTCTCGGGGCTACGCTCGTGACAATACGCACGTGACGCCAGCGTCGGCGATGAGGCAGCCCCCCTGTATATATGTCTGTTCGTTCGTACAAAGGATTTCACCTGGACGAATGAAAAGAATCGCCGCGCTCGTCGATATGCTCGTTGCCGCGTTGAATTACATAAGGGTTCCCGATTCAATTCGCAACATTGTCGATGGAGGGAGCTCTCTGAATAAAACTGTCAACGAAGATATCCCACGCGAATGTATTTTCCTATAAACAATGGGAGCCAATCGTTAGGGAAACTGACGTGATAATCGAGCTCGATTTCTCTCTCTCTCTCTCACGTTATTCATCAACTAGAATTGATTGCAGCTAATAATAAGTTAATTTAATTAATTCGAAACTTAGTTTCACTGCCAATTCAAACGTAGTGATGTTTAATCTCGCAAACTCTGCGAAAAAAAAGGTTCAGAGCAAACCGCAGCTCACGAATCGAGTCGCAGAAACTCGCAGAATCAGCCGTGACCTTTTTACGTCAATCCCGGAGGAAACTTGCTGACCGAGAGGAAACGATGGTACGACGCCGCGCGCGAATACCTGCCGCTATAAAATCTCTAGGTCCATTGTGGCGGCTGTCCTCGGACAGATCTTATCTGCTCGAACGGATCTGGCCTCGGAAACGCTTTTGGTTGCTCGCTCCTTCCTCGTAAATCACGTTAGGCGGTGCGTATTTGCATCTCAATGCGTCGAGGAGACAAATGACGCCCTCCTCTTCATCTTTAGCCAGATCCATTATTCTCTCCCGCTCATCTGTAGACATCTTCTGCTTTTCTCAATTTCGTTGCGGATTTTTCATTACCTGCTTGGCTACGAATTTGCGATCCCGTTCGAATCGATACGCGCAAATAATCGTCGCTCGCGTGAATAATTGACGTCGTTGACATTACCTTGACGTTAGTATGATACAAAATTCCCACGATTGGTAGATTCACTGCACGACACGATAATGGGGATTAGCGCGCGGTTATAATTAATCATTCTCGGAGTGCTTCGAATCGTGAAACGCGACTGTCAATTGCGGACCGATGAGTTTCGTCTCGGCATCGAGATATTTTAATTTCGTAAAAAAAAAAGGGGGAAAGATAAACGGATATTGATATTGAAATCTCCGCGTTCGACAAAATCACTCTTGAATATCGAGCTGTAATCGGGAATACGATGATGAGCGAGATTCAAATCAAGGATTTTTTTTCATGCTCTCACCGTCAATCTTTCTGCGCTCCTCTACTCTTATTTTTGCACATGTCATCGATTTACATACCCTGACATGACTCCCACGTTCTTTTCGCAACCTCTTTCGGATTCTCCGAAATCGGTGACATTATCAGGACGGAAGTCCCATCCAGACGGACCGTGTCGCTCGCTTATCACCTCGGAATTGTTGCGCGAGTCGACGTCAGGTACGGATACTTTAAAGTTCCAATCGCGTTGACAAATTTTCCCTCGAACATACATACGTATTCGAAAGGATGAAATAAGATCGCACGAGAGGCCAGAATTAATGCGTATAGTTAGGATTTAATTAAGAATTCGAGCTACTCCGTACTATTTACCCGCTGTTGCTGCATAAAAAAAGCGTAATATCGCTCGTTTAACGACTGATAAAATAATTCTTTATTTATGCATCATCGTCGGACATGCGACGTACAAATTTAACCGAACAGGATGAAAAAGCGACGCGCGAGTATCATCGATAGGTGGGCGGGGAAAATCGACGTATCGAAATGCCGTGCAAATCAAACGTGCCACGGATGTAATTCGTAAAACTCATTCGGTAAATACAACGCGATCGATACGATTTGCGAATCATAGCCCTCCCTCCCTCCCTCCCTCCCCGCCTCCCCCGTTTGGCAAAAGGGTGGGTGTATGTTTATGGGCGTTAAGCGGGTTTTCGAAACGTTCCACCGCGTCCATACGCGCTCACAGCGAATATTAATTTACCGCTAATTACGGGAATCGAGAATGGTAACGTTGCAAACAAACGCGCGAATGCTCAATAAGAATTTATTACCGGAGCTTGTTATAACCCACATGTAATCAGTGGCGCATTTCGATGCGTTCGTTATCCGATTAAGACAGTTTCACTACTCACGGTCAACTCTTAACCGAGATTCAACTTATCTCTCATCTTTTTCCAAATTCAATTCTAGAATTGAAAAGAGATAACGAATTGGTTGAACACCCCCTCGATTAAGAGTTAACCGTCAGTTGTGAAACCGGGCCTTAGAGAGGAAAGCTGTCGACGCTGTCGATCGCGTCGCCGAAGGATCTTCTTCCCTGGGAAGAAGAATAACGCGTGGAATGGATTTCGCGGAATCTTCTTCGTATCGCGAGCTATGCCGGGAATTTCACGCAGATGAAAACGCTACCAATGGCGTAACTCGTGAGGGTGCAACGTCCACTCGCCACCACCTTCTCGACGAACCGATTGCGATTTTTTGACGAAGTAGAGGTTGATCGACGTGTTAGCGTGAGTTGCTAATTCCGTTAATGAAGTAATTTCTTGTTTAAGTCATATCGTCCAATTTCTGTATTTCTATCTTGAGAATTCCGAAGCGATTCTTCGTGGCATCGTTATCGTTGCGTGAGATTCTTACATTAGATTAATTTAATTCTTATATTCGACCTGACGTCTGGTATGGAGTTGGATCGATATTATTTATCGATATTATTACGACGAATGCAGATCAGCATGGATGACTTACTGTCGAAATAAAGCGGGTCGATCGCATGCGGTTAATAACCCCGTCCTAACCTATGTAAAATAGCGTTCACAGCTTAATCGGCGAAATATTCAAATTACCCGATTTCGAGGCATGTTTCGGGGCGCCAAAGAGCAAGCGCACTGCTCATTTAAATGATAATCGTTGCACGCACGAATGTGTGCCTTCTCGTTCTTCTTCTTCTTCTTCTTCGTTTTCCTTCTCCCCATTGACATCTTTTCCGTTGACATTGTTCATTTCCTATCGAAACGATCGGTGGGATATGCACGTATGATCGGAAGGGTTATCGATTCCAACGACGTTAATCTGCATACCGTAATGAGTCCAAGAAGGATGTCGTTTCCTTTTCTCGTGACCTTCATCTTGACCCTGTATAAAGTTCACGCTCCTGTCACTTCACCGTTATTGTCGAACAATCGACGTTGTAAATTAGCATTTAGTAGTTCATTTTTGTCAAGAATCATTTGCATTATTCGATCGATTTGGCACATAAACTATTGATTCGTGTGATTTAACTATTATTTGTTATTATTATTTAGTAAATATTTACCGTAAGTAAATGTTAAGTTGGCGCTACACTTAAACAAATATTTGGTTAAAATTTAGTATATTTTTTTCTCAACGTATGCATGTATATTTATTTCATTGTTAAAGTTATATTATGCCACTGTATAAAGTACTTTATTACATAAAGTATAAACCCTTTAATGTGTATTATCCAGGGTAGCTGAGTGATTGAATTTACTATAAGATACCTTGATCGTTAATCAGTCTGCTAGTTGTTTTTGCCGTGCAAGTCGATCGGTGAAGATTCTTGTCTGTCGATTAAAAAATCCCCGTTGCACTGCGTATCGATGCGTATAGATATCCTTTTCCGAGTTAGTAGATATATATATATATATATATATTTATACTGCACTATATGTGATGACGCGAACTATAGGACGTGGTGGAACACGCTGTTCGATGAGTGTAACGTTGTTCTCAATTTGTTTCTATACCGCGCGCGTACCACTTGAAATGTGATTCGATAATGAAACAGCACTCGTTCGTCGTCGAGCCGATTTTCGTGCATCGGAATAGTTGATATTA